GGACACAGCGGATCACCGATCAACAGAAAGAGCCGAAGATGTCGGCTCGGTCATGTGATCAGCTACCAGTGCCTCCTCATCAGTGCCCATCAGTGCCACCTATCAGTGTCCATCAGTGCAGCCTATCAGTGCCCATCACTGCAGCCTCATTAGCGCACATCGGTGAAGGAGAAAAATCACTTATTTAGAAAATTTTATAACAAAAACTAAGAAAAAATCTTTTTTTTTTTTCACAATTTTCAGTGGTTTTTGGTTTGTTTAGCAAAAAATGAAAAACCCAGAGGTGATTAAATACCACCAAAAGAAAGCTCTATCTGTCTCAAAAAAAGATAAAGATTTCATATGGGTACAGTGTTGCATGACCGCACAATTGTCATTCAAAGTGTGACAGCGCTGAAAGCTGAAAATTGGCCTGGGCAGGAAGGGGGTATAAGTGCCCTGTAGGCTAGCGGTTAAAGACAAAATCAGTGTCACGGATGGACTGTATCTGTGGCTGGCAGTGTCAGGGTGACAGTTGCAATGAGTGGAGGAGGATGAATTCACACTCTGACAGATCCCAGCTGGAATTACCCAAGCAATGAGGGGAGGTAAAATGCTGTGATAGCAAGCAGCTGAACTGATTGATCCCACGCAGTGACAGATCTGACACAACACACCACCACCAACACTGACACAGATCAGCAGGCAGTAGAACAGGAGGCTGTGAGATCATGATGATGTCATCACTGACACGTTGCACATGTGATGGACGGCCGGCCAGGTCACACTCCCACAGACAGGAGACATCAGAATCAAACATTACCTTCCTCTGCTTCTGCTGATGAATGGGAAGAGAAGGGCTAGAACTCCACAGTGATCAGCAGCCGCCAACTTGCAGTAAGGGACTGAGTCTGAGAGGAACACTGGAAGAAGCAGCAGCTCAGCTGCTACACTGGCCCCAGACACCCGGCATCTTGCTCTGTTCTTTCTTCCTCCCCTCTGCCACCCCTCCTCTCAGCCAAAGGATCATTCATGACGTGGCGGTATCCCACACAGAGAGAGTGCCAGCCTGTGCTGCACCCAGGTGCCCCTAGGAGGCAGTGCGCCCTAGGCAACCGCCTAGTTTGCCTATTGAAATCACTGGCCCTGGGAACAGCCCCATCCTTCCAGGAACTTTGATTGATAGGGATCTCTTGCTCTTTTTGTGGTCCCTGACTTGCCATGAGCTCCATTTCTTGGCATCTGCATATATAAAGGTTAGGCAGGAAGAAGTTATTGTGTCTGTTGATGGTACAGAGCTCAGAGGGCTATGGGAGCAATGACCTGCTGAAGCGGGGGAGGAACTCTAGCTGGCATATTTAACAGGAGAACGGTAGCCCAATATCTAACCTGTAAATCTCAACAATAAACTCTTATTTGCTCCCTTCTGGTTTGGTAAGCAGGGGTGTAATTATCACAAGGCGTTTGCCTAGGGCGGCATTTTTCAGGGGGCACAACACTTCCCCTTGGAAGAAAGGACACATGTGGCATGGGGACCAGGTGGGTTCTGAGAGATGGTGTGGGTTTCATGACGGTGTATGCACAGCCCGACTCTCGTTCCTGGGGATGTCTGGAGCTGTGAAGGTGAGTGTCTTTCTCTCTCTCACCATGGGCGATGGTGGCTGGTGTATGGTGGGCAGTGGTGGTGGAGGGCAGGGGTGTTCTTGGTCAATGTCAGGCTCTTTCTGCTGGGGAGGGTGCCAATTTTTTTTGTTGCCTAGGGCAGCACAAAACCTAAATACACCATTGTTGGTAAATATACCATTGGAAATGTTTTTTGTAATATCTGTTTGAAGTACAACAAAAAAAAAAAAATGGTTGATCCTGACAGAAATCCAATGAGCTGATGACTTCCTGTGCTCTCTGCCATTGCTTCATGGATATCAGTTATAATGTTTCCAACTCTTTCATGTGAACTGCTGAATTCCTGCCCCTGTATTATAGAAAGAGGACCGGGGGAGGTGTTCTGTAGTCTGAACACACTTCCTCTTCTAAGGTGACAACGCTGTTTCTTCATCGATAAAGGACTGTAGAGATGACACTGTTCCATATATGCCTCAGTTGTGATAATGGTGTGCCCCCAGTGGTATCCTGGGATCACAGTGTCACTCTTAGTTGGCATTCTTTTTGGTGATTAGGGGCCACAAGTGGATGGTTCCTGTCAGGGGCGGACTGACAACTCATGGGGCCCCCGGGCAATAGGGGATCATGGGGCCCCTGTGTCCTTGCCCAAACTCAAAAAAGCCTATGAAAAAGGTACCAGGGGCATCTCATGGGGCCCCCTACTGACCCGGGCCCTCGGGCAGTGCCCGAGTTTCCAAATGGTCAGTCCGCCCCTGGTCCCTGTATACTTAGAGGCAAGGTTTGGGCAAGCTACACTGGTAAGTGGGCAGGGCTATCTGGTCCTGTGGACTGGGGAGCAGGGACGGGCCTCTATTGTCACCTTGGGGGCAAGAAGTATATTAATGTTAGGATCACCAGGTGAAAATTAGGGGAAAAAACAAAACTAATACAGACACCACATATGATGATTAGTAAGCTGCAATATGCAGCATATGTATGTTAAAAGAACATGTATGGGGTAGAACGATCGTTGCAACATCAAGTATGAAAAGTTAGGGTACTTTGCCATTTAATAATACTTTCTTTTTTTGGGGGGAAGGGGTATTTAGGGTAGTTAGTTTTATTTAGTTTCTTTTTTCTTAATTTAGTTTATTTCATTTTTTTTATAGTTTCTTCGTATCTGTGTTTTTGTTATATATGGGTTTTTTTTACTGTATATGTTTCTTATTTTTTGCTTTACGTTTTTTTATTTCCCTTTTTTTTGGACTCTTGGGAAAAAACAAGAAACATTGAATATAGCACTCAAGAAAGGTTCATTGTACAAAAAGATTTTTTTTTTCTATAAAGATGAACTTTATTGTATCATTAAAAAATATTATTATACCCTTAGAACCATAAAACCTACTCTAACATTGCACAACCAGCCATTTTCTAGGTCTAGGTGACATTACTGAATATTTTGTCTTAGATGACTCACATGCGGGGCGGACTGACCATTTGGAAACTCGGGCACTGCCCGAGGGCCCGGGGTCAGTAGGGGGCCCCATGAGATGCCCCTGGTACCTTTTTCATAGGCTTTTTTTGAGTTTGGGCAAGGACACAGGGGCCCCATGATCCCCTATTGCCCGGGGGCCCCATGAGTTGTCAGTAATAATAAAATAAATGTATCTTTTTATAATAACAAATTCTTTGTGTACAATAGACCTTTCTTGGGTGCTGCATTCTAAATCCCTTGGTTTTTCTGGAGAGTTATAATAAGTTTACGGATTATGGAATTTTAAGACTAAAATTTATTTGGCTATATTCATCTTTTTTTTTTACTTTTATTTCTATGAAAAAAGGTAAAATAATGAATACAAATGAGGGGCTGTTTTTTTTCACACAAAGACTAGTCCAGGACACTTGAAAGGATCTTCCCAAACCCTCTGGAATCATTTAATGCCTATTGAACCCTTCCAAATATAGTAGACTCCAATGTATTTCACCAAAATCTCCTAATTTATGCAGAAAATGTTGGGAAAATAAAAATACTCGATTTTGCTCATCCTAAATGTATAGTATACATAGTATATATCAGGGCTTGAAATGTCCACTCGCCTGCTCGCCAATGGCGAGTGGAAATTATGGTGGGGGCGAGTGTGGCCCCAGGGCCGTCTTGCTGAGCAGGCTCCGAGCTCAGGCCGGATCTGTCATTGGCACTGGGAGCCGTCAGACTGCTCAATAGCTGAGCGCAGTGAAAGCAAAGGAAGGAGTGTGTGCTGTGCTCTCTGCCTCCCCCTAGAGTGCAGTACCCAGCTGTGTGTGTCAGCTCACTCTGGTCACATGATCCTCTATGTCAGCCAGTGGTGGCTTCAGGGGAGAGGAGAGAGCACATAACAGCGTACGTGCGTGTGTGTTTGTACATGTGGGTGTGTTTGTGTGTGTCTGTGTATGCATGTACATGTGTCTGTGTGTATGTACATGTATGTATGTGTGTGTGTGTGTGTGTGTGTGTGTGTGTGTACATGTGTCTGTGTGTGCATGTACATGTGTGTGTGTGTACATACATGTGTCTGTGTGTACATGTGTCTGTGTATGTATGTACATGTGTATGTACATGTGTCTGTGCTTGTGTATTTCTGTGTATGTACATGTATCTGTGTGTATGCGTGTCTGCACGTGCCTGTGTGTGTATACATGTGTCTGTATGTGTGTGTGTGTACATGTGTTCCTGTGCGTGTGTGTACATGTTTCTGTGTGTGTGTGTATGTACCAGGGTCGGACTGACCATTTGGAAACTCAGGCACTGCCCGAGGGCCCGGGGTCAGTAGGGGGCCCCATGAGATGCCCCTGGTACCTTTTTCATAGGCTTTTTTGAGTTTGGGCAAGGACACAGGGGCCCCATGATCCCCTATTGCCTGGGGGCCTCACGAGTTGTCAGTCCACCCCTGGTATGTACATGCCTGTGTGTGTGTACAGGTTTCTCTGTGTGTGTTTGTTGGTGGCAAGTAACTCTTAAGGCTTGGCTAGTAGCTCAGGACTTGAAATTTTGAGCCCTGGATGATAGTATACAATAACAAATAATTAAATTATGGAAAGCTCATGTAGAAGAAAATCATGTCGTGTAGGAGAAAATATTCAATGATGTCACCTAGGCTTAGGAAGTGGAATGTTGTGCAGTAATGGAGTAGGTTTTATGATTTTCAGAATAAGGTAGGTAATGGAGCAAAAGGGAGAGGAGGGCAAGAGGGGGACTAAAGGAAAAGAAGGGGGTAGAAGAATGAGGAAGAAAAGAGGGAGACTAGGGCATGGACCTCCCTATTAATTTAGATGTAGCGTAAAATTGGAAGTCAAAACTGATGCATCAAAGCTTTGTGGGCCACAGAAGGTCACTCAGTCAATCGTATGTTTCAATAATTTCTTTTTTTGTTTTCCTGTAGTTCACAGATGAGTTTGAGCAGCTGGAACAGTTGTTACCATCTCAGCTACCTGGGTTCGGAACATCTGAGCGGACAGAAACTGGTTTACCAATGAAGTCAGAGATATTACCTACATCTCTACAGACTGGCACTGTGGCCAGGACACCCTCTGGGCTGAACAGTACGTATACCTTGTTGCCAAAGTGTCAGTCTAACCTGAAACTAATATTTAAGTTTTAGGACAATTTATGGTTTACATCTTCTATTTTTTTTTGATAGAGCGGGGAGTTAGAACCTCCATTTTTATTGCCGTCTTGGTCTCTATTGGGAAAGATAGCACATCTGTCCCAGTGGTCACTTGAGGTCTCTCTAACAGGACGTTAGAGAGACCTCAAGTGACCACTGGGACAGAATGTGACTACAAATCCAGCAGCAGACATCTGATGGATGTTCTAACCCTATCCTATATACTTTGCTCTTAGTGTAGCCAAAGAGTCAGTCCAACATGAAACTAATATTTAAGTTTTAGGACAATGTATGGTTTACATCTTTTATTTTTTTGATAGAGTGGGGAGTTAGAACCTCCATTTTTTTTGCTGTTTTGGTCTCTGTTGGGGTGTCCTGTTAGAGAGACCTCAAGTGACCACTGGGACAGAATGCGGCTACAAATCCAGCAGCAGACATCTGTTGGATGTTCTAACCCTATCCCATATACTTTGCTCTTAGTGCGGCCAAAGAGACCTCAGGTGACCACTGGTACAGGTTGCGACCACAAATCCAGCAGCAGACATCTGATGGATGTTATAACCCACCTCACTTTATCAAGAAAATGTTTTGCTTTTCTTTTAATGTGAAGCTATGTCAGACTATGGTACTGTCCATGTGATGGTGAGGCTAGTGATGGAGCCATGCCATAGGTTCCATGCTTCATTGTCCTAGATTGACTGAATGTTTAGACGGTGAGTTTTCCATCTAAAGAGACCACTCAGTAAAAAAAGAAGAGACAGAGCAGATCACATTACAGCTTTCAAAGGAAAAACAACTCCTCTTGCAGCCTTGTCTTCACTCTCAAGGTTTATTTAATACATGTTGGTCCTCATAAATCTCCCCCTTCCCACCATGATCTACAGGCTATAGGGGTCTGTTGTTCTATCTTGCATTGATTTGTATGAGTGACCTGCTAAGAGGCCTGAACATTAATACTAATTTTGTCCTGACTTTGGAGGACAAGGCTGATGGATGACCCAGATGGGAGGTGGATACTGCTGATATATGATATTGACTGAGCCGAAGGCTGCGCACTTTTTCAACCTTCCAGTCACTGCTTCATCCCCCTACGGGTAATAATTCTCCAGCACAACATGGAGATATTTACTGTGTGTTTTTGTTCGGGGTCCTTGCTCTGCAGTTTACTGGTATTGCCATTACTCAGTTGCTGGACATAGAGTGAATTATGGAAACCACACTAAACAAACCAAAAGTACATGCTCTTTACTGGGCTTTTGGCAAAGAGACATTTGTAAAGTCTTCACCAAAGACCATTCTATAAATTTGCTTACTGTTCGTTATTTTCCTAATGCTATTTTTCCAGACACATTTGCAGATTCTTCCCCTATTAACTGGCTTCATGTTAGACGGAGGGCCTTGAGGAAGGAATATAGAGGTAAAACTAGTTACAGGGAAAGCTAGTTAGTAGGAAAATGTTGACATTGGTTTTGCCAGCATTGGAGAATGGCTCCTCCATGACATTGTTTCATAGTAATGAAGTCATGTTCTGAAATTGGTGGAAACCCTTCTCCATTTAGGAGAAAGGATGGTGAATGTTGGGAGGAGCAGGAGATTTGAAGAGGTTGTCAAGAGAGTAAGATCTCTTCCACGGTCTGCCAAGTGAGCAACAAGTTTCCTCTCGGGGAACATGGGGTGGGTATTGTGTTAACCCAGGAATTACTCTGAGTTGGGGAAATTTTTTAAGACCAGTGATTAGATTACAGAGACTTACATCAAGCACAGCCCAGCAGTGTATTGCTACTGAATTATATGTTTGATCTACTGATCATGCCCTGTTTCCCTGGACCGTAAAAAAGGTTCCTACAACAAGAAGTAGTTGGTCTGAATTTTACATGAATCCTGCCATGCTATAGATCAACCTGTGCAGGAGATAGTTGATGGGAGAATTTGCTTGAAAGGGGTGCAAGATGGGGTAAGAGTCCTTCAGAGTTGTGTAGGGAGCAATGCAAGATGCCAGAAGGTACCAGAATAAATTGGGAGCCTAGTATTTGATGCCCCATTCCAGGTACAGAAGGATAGGACAGTAGCCAGAATGATCTGTGGAAATTAGGATGATAAATATTAAGAGGAAATTCCCGGGAAAAAAATATATTCTGAGATACCTTTGTCTATGCCCCTCCCACTACCCCTCTGGGCAATCATTTAGAGGTCAAAGCTAGCAACTCTCTGCTTGCCCCTACTTACAAGTAGCTTGAACAGCTTTCCACATTACCATGGGGGCATTTCCTGTGCTCCTGTACATCAGTGAAGGTCAGGGACTTTTCTTGTAGGGATAGTTGGATCAGACGTGGTGTTTTTAAAAAGCCATTAAAACCCAAAAAAGCCTTACTTCAATTTTCTTTCGCATAATCCCTCTCTTCCAGTAGAGGAAACCGGTGATCCGAAGTTCTCTTCTCTATCTGCTACCCAGGTGACTATTATCTGCCCTTTGTTGTGTAAGGCTTTTGAACCTTGTAAGAACCTTGGGCACTGTAGACCATAACTTCCCAAACTGTAGACAAGTAAAAAAGAAGACTTGGAACCCAGCTGTCACATGGCCAGAGTTATTCAGTTCGCTCTTTGCTGTGCAAGAAAATAACATAGCATCCACCCCTTGATGTGCAAGGCTTTAGAACCCTGTGAGAGGCATGGGACCAGCAAGTGATATCGACACTGTAGACCAGAACTTCCTATGGTACAGTCTAATAAAAATGAAGACTTGGAACCCAGCTGTCACATGAGCAGAGTTCTTTACTTTGCTGTTTGCTGCTTAGGCAACCACTATATCATCTGCTCTTTGTCATGCAAGGGTTTAGAACCCTGTGAGAACCATAGGACCCGAAGGTGACATGGACACTGCAGACCAGAACTTCCTATACTACAGACTAGTAAAAAGGAAGACTTGGAACCCAGCTGCCCCATGAGCAGAGTTCTTTACTTCACTGTTTGCTGCTTAGGTGACCACTATATCATCCCTCCCTTGTCATGCAAGGTTTTAGAACCCTCTGAGGACCATAGGACCAGGAAATGACATTGGTAGTGCAGAACAGAACTTTCCACACTACGGAATAATAAAAAGGATGACTTGGAACCCAGTTGTCACATGAGCACAGTTCTTTATTTCGCTGTCTGCTGCTTAGGCGACTGCTATAGCATCTGCCCCTTGTCATGCAAGGGTTTAGAACTATGTGAGGGCCATGGTACCAGGAAATGACACGGGCACTGCAGACCAGAACTTCCCACACTTCAGACTAGTAAAAAAGAAGACGTGAAACCCAGCCGTTATATAACTGGAGTTTTAGGTAAGTAAATAGTGCAGTTAGGTAATAAAAATGATAGAATATGTACAGAAAAGTGTTGTGGGAAAGGAATTGGAATGGAGCTTTGTGCATGTGGTTGGGCAAATACACTGCACCCCGTTCTCTTCTGTAGGGTACATACCAGATGTACCATACAGTTCCTTCCTCTGATTGGTAGTTTCCAGCTGTCGGTTAGAGAGGATCACCCTCCAGCACGTGCACAACTTGTCCATGTATCAGGACTCACTGGGGTCATCAAGGACCAAAGCCAGAATTATAGTGTTTTCAATGCCAGTAGAATTGGAGATAATCAAGGCAACCTGAACTGAGCTTCTTTAATGCTTTCCATTTTTTTTCCCCCTACATCTGGTTTTCAGTGGCCCAGTTCCTCTTTTATAATATCAAGCCGTGCGCTCTTATTCTCCGAAGGGAAAAGTAAATTCCTCCCATCACATTGCAGAGATTCTAAATTTATTAAAAAAAAGAAAGGAAAATGACTGTTACTTACTGTATATTCTAATTTGTTTTCAGAAACCCGATGCAGTCATATCCTGGTTTTCAGCCTTAAATAAACAAACATCAGCACTGGCAGAGGCTGAAATGTTATACAGAGTTATAGAAATTAGCAGTCAAAGGAGCAATCGTGTATGTAAGGCAAATATTTTCAGAGGACATCGCAGTGGTCTTCTGTGCGGTGTTTATCACATGCCGGCGTCAAAGGAAGATTTGATTACTGGCATAGACCAAAAGGATGCTGGAGATTTAAGTCATCACCTTGTACAATTCTTTGCTCTGCACGGTTTCTGTCTAGCAATGCTGCCAGTTCCTGGTGAACTGGTAGTCCGCCTCTTGCTAGACGTTCAGGTCAAAAATGGCTGCTTAAGGTTTAAATTTGTAGAGATAGCTGGTCAGGTTACAGAATACCTGCTTTAAAGTAAAAGTGAAGGCAAAACGTAGAGTGAAAAGGGGGTTAGAACAACTGTCAGGTTCTCCATTGCTGAGTGTTAGTGAGATTACCTCTCCATTCATCCTGGTGACCGTTATCACCAAAAGTGAAAGAAAATCCAAAATGTTGAGTGGTTACCAGAGCAGGAATAGAGGGGAAATCTTCCAGTGGGGACACTGGAGTTCTGGTGACTACCAGGGATTTCCTCACTCTGGAAGTTCTACCTTTTACTTCCTGTTGTGACTGTGACACAGGAAGTGAAGGAAAAGCTTCTGAATGGGTCCAGATGGCAAAAAAGACCTAACAGTGTATAACCCTCTCTTACTTATACCTTCAGTTCTTCTTTAAAGTGTTACTAAACCCAGGACCCCGCATTCACTCTATCTGGTCTCCCCGGACCCTGCATTCACTATATCTGGTCTCCCCAGACCCTGCATTCACTCTATCTGGTCTCCCTGGACCCTGCATTCACTATATCTGGTCTCCCCCCCGGACCCTGCATTCACTATATCCGGTCTCCCCAGACCCTGCATCCACTATATCTGGTCTCCCTGGACCCTGCAATCACTATATCCGGTCTCCCGGGCCCTGCATTCACTATATCTGGTCTCCCCAGACCCTGCATTCACTATATCTGGTCTCCCGGGACCCTGCATTCACTATATCCGG